AAACGTCTGGTGATTTGGTTAAGGCTTGGTGACATTTCACTGGCCCTACAATGGAGTTTTCGTGCCTTAAAGTAACCCTCGTGCTATTGATAGAAGAAACCAGACAAGTAGTGAATAGGTCTTTATTTCGATCTTACCGCAGTCACAGTGGAGTGTGGGATTATCTGTTCAGACAAACAAAGGCTCTCAACATTCAATATAAGATAAAAGGGAATATAACGGTTATACAAAACAAGGAAGTGAATGAATACTTGAACAATACTGCATTGGCATATACTTGGTTGTTTGGGGTCAACTCTTAACCAACCAACCTAAGCTGTTACATTAGCTTCCATCTAGAATCGACTTCGATTAACCTAACTATCGAAAACACCTTAGTTCTATTTCTCATCCCAAGGGAAAATTATCAGCTCGCTCACTATTTGACTTACAATCAGTGACGACTAACGCTGTCAACGATAGTCCATGGATGTCTCTTCATTTACAGCTTGTCATCTTATTTTGTAGCATGTGGTTTCTTCTACAACTATCGCTGACGGTTTGCTGCGTGCTTTCAAGAGAAAGAGTGTGAGAATGTGGAATAAGAATATCTGAGGAAGTGCCGCGAGCGGGCTACACAACACCATGTTGGTGAGGTACGATTTTTCCATGCTCAGACCGGCTATCAGGTGTTTACTCACCTGCCTCTTGAGTCGCCCTCAAGTAAAAAGTAAAGAAGAATCTACTTCAAAGGTAATGGTGAAAATCAAGCAAACCTGAAGAACTGCTCCACTGCCTGCATAAAATAATAAGATACAAAATGGAAATACATAAATGTAATTGATAATTGTTCGGTTCCATGTAAGTGCTTGGTCGACAGAACGAATTGTTATTCTGGAAGAGAATAGACATAGTGTAGATATCTTGTGCACGAAAAACCATGAAAACAAAAAAATACTCTTTTGTAATGCATATATGTAAAAGGGTGAACTTGCTAGAAGTTGGACTCTTTAACAAAATCGATCAAACGCGTTGTTTGGGGTCAACTCTTAACCAACCAACCTAAGCTGTTACAGAGTATCAAAGTCGTCTATAATCTCAATAGGTAATCACGACCGTGTTTAACGAGAAGCCTCTGATGTGAGTCTTCATCAAAAACTCTCTTGAAGTCGAAGAGAAGAACTAAAACGAGGGACTTGTTGTATCGTTGTTTATTTGTGTCATTCCGGTAATCAGGTAGGCATGTATCTCATAGCTAAGCCGTATAGTTATTCGTTCTTTACAAAATTTGATAGTTCAATTCTGCAACAGTTATACTCGTCTCCAGTTATTCTGTTAAACACTGAGGAGTAATTATAGGCTTCATACCATGACTGTCTACGTGACTGTCTTCCTTACACGTTATGCCTGTGTACTGAAAAATATTTCTGTCATCATAACTGAAGACGAAGTGTCATTGAGTCTATGAGATTAGGTAACATCTGTTCAAACAGTATATACTAGCCTTTAGATGTCCTAGGTCTTCAGTAGGCGTAGGGTAAAGCTTTTTTCAAAATACTGTCAGTGTTGTAATATTAAACGCTGATTAGTTTATCGGCAGTATTTTCCGCAAGATGTACAGACCAATGCTTTTCATTTTGACTAACAAAGTCAAAAACTAAGCCGAGCTTCATTATCATAAACTTCTGACGTTAACCATCTTTCTGATATGGTAATGAAATCATGAGATCTTAACCAGATTAAATCTTTTGGGCTCCACCGTTTTTTCTAGCTTCCAGATAGCCCTTGTGTTACTAACATTTAGTTCAGCGAAATACTTGTCCTATCATCCGAAATTTGTGCCACTATAGTGTACTGACGAACAATGAAAGCCCTATCTACAAGCCATACAACTGGGATCACATTACCGCCAAAATTCTTCCCCACCATCCCAAAATACTTCGTAATAGCACTCAGAGTGCTTTAGAAATCGTTTCGTAATGTCTTAGGTGCATGGTTCTTCAGAAAGACTACGTATTTTAATGTCATGTATATTCAGTGCCAGACAATGCCTTTGTCCGTGACATCTCGTTACTGAATGATCCTAAATCCAGTCAAACGAGTAGTCAGAAATGATGAAGTTTAAGGGTATATTTTTAGGATAGTCGATGTGTTAAGAAGTATATGAGCTAAGCTTACTGGAGAAGGACGAGTAACACGACATCCCTAGTGGTTATCTGGTGGATATTCCCGACACAGCCCCTTCAGCCAGGGCAATCGCATGTGCGGCCAAAAATTTTTGGATTCAGCCAGCTTAGGTGAGGTCTTCAATAGTAGATTCTTCTTGTAAGTCACTAATGTAGATGATCTGTGTCGAATGATTGGAAGTCTACTCGATTAAGTCGGGAACATTGTGAACAACCAGCCAACGTCAAAGTCACCCTTTCGTCGTAATCAGTTACTGTGGCTACTTTGACGACCGTGCAACACAAACGGCGTTATTACCTAGATATATTAGTAAGAGTAAGTACAAGGAACTGTGTTATAACCTCTTTCTTCTTACGATTATGGCCCAGCTATTCCTATTGCTTAGTATTCTCGGACACCGATTCACTCGACAAGTCCCCAAATCAGAACACGGTTGAACAGGAAAGAGATTATATTCCAGATAGCAAGTCAGAAGCACAATAGGGAAAAACGTCAGTATATTTATAGTTTTTACATAAGAAGATTCCAGAGTATTCTCCAACTACCGACTAGTGCTGATTGGATAAGAATTAGCCAATCAGCGTGCACCAAAGCAATCATGCATTGAGCATGCTTTAATCTAGTCTATGTCCCGCTAACACCTCCCCTCTGAGCAGATTCGTAGGATCTGGTGCTAGTGTCCAACTGCAACCGAGTGACTGGCCTGTGCTTTCGATTAGTCCATCGTCTAGGCAATAAAGAAGTATCACTCTTTTCTTGCACAGAAACTGATGTGTCTATTCCCGGCGTTTTGATTTCAAAGGTGTCTAGCAGAACATCAAGAGGTAATCGATATTGAATCTTGTTGCTGGCTATCGAGGTTGCTTTCAATTGGTTAGCATGACGTACCCAAACTTCCGAGCCAACTGACACCTCGTAAACCACACTCCCCTTCTTTTTCACGATCCGACCAGCTGTCCATGTAGGATGTTTCCCACGATAGTCCATAGCAAGCACTTTTTGTCCCACCTTGAACAATCGTCTTTGTGCCCCATGATGTCGGTTAAACTGATTCTCCATCGATAGGTTTCGTTGGGGTTCAATAGTTGGCGTAGGACGGATGACATCGGAATGTGTTCGTATCTTTCTTTTCAGTTTTCCTAGTAACCTTTCACCTGTCTTCTTTGGAAGTACTGGGGTGTCCAATGATGAACACGATACGTTACAGACACTGTTAATTGGTACATCCATTATTCCAAGTTTGTCTAACATATCTAGACCAAGAAGATCAAGGTTCGGCCGTTCTGTTAGGTAACATATTCCTGTACAGTTAGTTCCATTGAAGGAAAATTCACACTGTAATTCACCAACCAGTTTTAGCACACCACCTGATGCGTTTTTAGCCGTTTTCTTAGATGGCTTCATTGGCGGTTTACCCAGCAAGTTATACGTTTCTCTAGACACTAACGTGATATCTGATGCCGTGTCAATTTGAAGACGAGCTGATATGCCGTTTATCTGGATGGTAACATATTTTCTCCGAATGTCATAGTTTGTTTGAAAGGCAGCTACCAGAGAAAGAGATTTCGACTCAGCTGATTTCACATGTCGAGGACGTTTATGCTTCTTCTTAGGCTGAGACGTACGCTTCGGTGGACAATGACCTTCTTTATGTCCACGTTTGTTGCACGCCTGACATTTATGCTTCTTGAACGGACAGAATCGTGCATAATGCCAATCACCGCATAACCAGCATGCAGTCCTTGGTTTGTTACGAGTTGTTACCGGCTTCTGAACTTTTAACCTAGTAATAGTATTGACACTACCGCAGGTTAAATTAGGATTTACCTGTTCAATCAACTCGTTGTCGTGTCTGATGCTTTGTAGACGCTTACACTCATCTGTCAATGTTCTGAGTGTGACGTTTGGGTCTTGATCCAGTCGAGCTAAAAGTCTCGTCCTGATCTCAGCGTCTTGTGGTGACTGAAGAGCTTTGATGAATATTAAGCATTTAAATTGGTCATCAGTCAACGAGCGTAACTTGAAACGTTCACATTCTCTGTTGACGATGTCTGCTAGAACACCATATTCATCGGCTTCGCGTTTCACCAAATTTAGACACCGATATCGAATACTAAACAACGAGGATGACTCGCCGAATATCTCTGACAACTGAAATACCGTCTCCTCGAAACTGAGCTCTCGAGGTAACTTTGGCAATATATGGTCAGCAAAACGTGCATGTTCACTGCTTCCCAACTTACGTACCAACAATCGGGTCTTCCACGCATCGTCTTGGTTACAGAATTCTGTTCTAAATGTATCTTCCCAACGTCTGAACCACGTGAGAAAAGTATTTCCACTTTCGGGATCATAGATGAATTCTGGGATGCTGCTAGCAACTGCATCACAAGACGTACTTGAAATAGCATGTGAACTCGAGCTGTGGATGTTGAGCTGTTGAGTCAGAGTCTCCAACAACCGCATTTGTGCATCAAGTTGTGCTTGCTGTTGTTGTAGTATTCGGTTAAGCTGGTCATCTGATATGGGCATCTTGAATTTGTTTTCCTTTTTCCCCGTCGCCACTGTTATAACTCTTTCTTCTTACGATTATGGCCCAGCTATTCCTATTGCTTAGTATTCTCGGACACCGATTCACTCGACAAGTCCCCAAATCAGAACACGGTTGAACAGGAAAGAGATTATATTCCAGATAGCAAGTCAGAAGCACAATAGGGAAAAACGTCAGTATATTTATAGTTTTTACATAAGAAGATTCCAGAGTATTCTCCAACTACCGACTAGTGCTGATTGGATAAGAATTAGCCAATCAGCGTGCACCAAAGCAATCATGCATTGAGCATGCTTTAATCTAGTCTATGTCCCGCTAACACCTCCCCTCTGAGCAGATTCGTAGGATCTGGTGCTAGTGTCCAACTGCAACCGAGTGACTGGCCTGTGCTTTCGATTAGTCCATCGTCTAGGCAATAAAGAAGTATCACTCTTTTCTTGCACAGAAACTGACGTGTCTATTCCCGGCGTTTTGATTTCAAAGGTGTCTAGCAGAACATCAAGAGGTAATCGATATTGAATCTTGTTGCTGGCTATCGAAGTTGCTTTCAATTGGTTAGCATGACGTACCCAAACTTCCGAGCCAACTGACACCTCGTAAACCACACTCCCCTTCTTTTTCACGATCCGACCAGCTGTCCATGTAGGATGTTTCCCACGATAGTCCATAGCAAGCACTTTTTGTCCCACCGTGAACAATCGTCTTTGTGCCCCATGATGTCGGTTAAACTGATTCTCCATCGATAGGTTTCGTTGGGGTTCAATAGCTGGCGTAGGACGGATGACATCGGAATGTGTTCGTATCTTTCTTTTCAGTTTTCCTAGTAACCTTTCACCTGTCTTCTTTGGAAGTACTGGGGTGTCCAATGATGAACACGATACGTTACAGACACTGTTAATTGGTACATCCATTATTCCAAGTTTGTCTAACATATCTAGACCAAGAAGATCAAGGTTCGGCCGTTCTGTTAGGTAACATATTCCTGTACAGTTAGTTCCATTGAAGGAAAATTCACACTGTAATTCACCAACCAGTTTTAGCACACCACCTGATGCGTTTTTAGCCGTTTTCTTAGATGGCTTCATTGGCGGTTTACCCAGCAAGTTATACGTTTCTCTAGACACTAACGTGATATCTGATGCCGTGTCAATTTGAAGACGAGCTGATATGCCGTTTATCTGGATGGTAACATATTTTCTCCGAATGTCATAGTTTGTTTGAAAGGCAGCTACCAGAGAAAGAGATTTCGACTCAGCTGATTTCACATGTCGAGGACGTTTATGCTTCTTCTTAGGCTGAGACGTACGCTTCGGTGGACAATGACCTTCTTTATGTCCACGTTTGTTGCACGCCTGACATTTATGCTTCTTGAACGGACAGAATCGTGCATAATGCCAATCACCGCATAACCAGCATGCAGTCCTTGGTTTGTTACGAGTTGTTACCGGCTTCTGAACTTTTAACCTAGTAATAGTATTGACACTACCGCAGGTTAAATTAGGATTTACCTGTTCAATCAACTCGTTGTCGTGTCTGATGCTTTGTAGACGCTTACACTCATCTGTCAATGTTCTGAGTGTGACGTTTGGGTCTTGATCCAGTCGAGCTAAAAGTCTAGTCCTGATCTCAGCGTCTTGTGGTGACTGAAGAGCTTTGATGAATATTAAGCATTTAAATTGGTCATCAGTCAACGAGCGTAACTTGAAACGTTCACATTCTCTGTTGACGATGTCTGCTAGAACACCATATTCATCGGCTTCGCGTTTCACCAAATTTAGACACCGATATCGAATACTAAACAACGAGGATGACTCGCCGAATATCTCTGACAACTGAAATACCGTCTCCTCGAAACTGAGCTCTCGAGGTAACTTTGGCAATATATGGTCAGCAAAACGTGCATGTTCATTGCTTCCCAACTTACGTACCAACAATCGGGTCTTCCACGCATCGTCTTGGTTACAGAATTCTGTTCTAAATGTATCTTCCCAACGTCTGAACCACGTGAGAAAAGTATTTCCACTTTCGGGATCATAGATGAATTCTGGGATGCTGCTAGCAACTGCATCACAAGACGTACTTGAAATAGCATGTGAACTCGAGCTGTGGATGTTGAGCTGTTGAGTCAGAGTCTCCAACAACCGCATTTGTGCATCAAGTTGTGCTTGCTGTTGTTGTAGTATTCGGTTAAGCTGGTCATCTGATATGGGCATCTTGAATTTGTTTTCCTTTTTCCCCGTCGCCACTGTTATAACTCTTTCTTCTTACGATTATGACCCAGCTATTCCTATTGCTTAGTATTCTCGGACACCGATTCACTCGACAAGTCCCCAAATCAGAACACGGTTGAACAGGAAAGAGATTATATTCCAAATAGCAAGTCAGAAGCACAATAGGGAAAAACGTCAGTATATTTATAGTTTTTACATAAGAAGATTCCAGAGTATTCTCCAACTATCGACTAGTGCTGATTGGATAAGAATTAGCCAATCAGCGTGCACCAAAGCAATCATGCATTGAGCATGCTTTAATCTAGTCTATGTCCCGCTAACACCTCCCCTCTGAGCAGATTCGTAGGATCTGGTGCTAGTGTCCAACTGCAACCGAGTGACTGGCCTGTGCTTTCGATTAGTCCATCGTCTAGGCAATAAAGAAGTATCACTCTTTTCTTGCACAGAAACTGACGTGTCTATTCCCGGCGTTTTGATTTCAAAGGTGTCTAGCAGAACATCAAGAGGTAATCGATATTGAATCTTGTTGCTGGCTATCGAAGTTGCTTTCAATTGGTTAGCATGACGTACCCAAACTTCCGAGCCAACTGACACCTCGTAAACCACACTCCCCTTCTTTTTCACGATCCGACCAGCTGTCCATGTAGGATGTTTCCCACGATAGTCCATAGCAAGCACTTTTTGTCCCACCGTGAACAATCGTCTTTGTGCCCCATGATGTCGGTTAAACTGATTCTCCATCGATAGGTTTCGTTGGGGTTCAATAGCTGGCGTAGGACGGATGACATCGGAATGTGTTCGTATCTTTCTTTTCAGTTTTCCTAGTAACCTTTCACCTGTCTTCTTTGGAAGTACTGGGGTGTCCAATGATGAACACGATACGTTACAGACACTGTTAATTGGTACATCCATTATTCCAAGTTTGTCTAACATATCTAGACCAAGAAGATCAAGGTTCGGCCGTTCTGTTAGGTAACATATTCCTGTACAGTTAGTTCCATTGAAGGAAAATTCACACTGTAATTCACCAACCAGTTTTAGCACACCACCTGATGCGTTTTTAGCCGTTTTCTTAGATGGCTTCATTGGCGGTTTACCCAGCAAGTTATACGTTTCTCTAGACACTAACGTGATATCTGATGCCGTGTCAATTTGAAGACGAGCTGATATGCCGTTTATCTGGATGGTAACATATTTTCTCCGAATGTCATAGTTTGTTTGAAAGGCAGCTACCAGAGAAAGAGATTTCGACTCAGCTGATTTCACATGTCGAGGACGTTTATGCTTCTTCTTAGGCTGAGACGTACGCTTCGGTGGACAATGACCTTCTTTATGTCCACGTTTGTTGCACGCCTGACATTTATGCTTCTTGAACGGACAGAATCGTGCATAATGCCAATCACCGCATAACCAGCATGCAGTCCTTGGTTTGTTACGAGTTGTTACCGGCTTCTGAACTTTTAACCTAGTAATAGTATTGACACTACCGCAGGTTAAATTAGGATTTACCTGTTCAATCAACTCGTTGTCGTGTCTGATGCTTTGTAGACGCTTACACTCATCTGTCAATGTTCTGAGTGTGACGTTTGGGTCTTGATCCAGTCGAGCTAAAAGTCTCGTCCTGATCTCAGCATCTTGTGGTGACTGAAGAGCTTTGATGAATATTAAGCATTTAAATTGGTCATCAGTCAACGAGCGTAACTTGAAACGTTCACATTCTCTGTTGACGATGTCTGCTAGAACACCATATTCATCAGCTTCGCGTTTCACCAAATTTAGACACCGATATCGAATACTAAACAACGAGGATGACTCGCCGAATATCTCTGACAACTGAAATACCGTCTCCTCGAAACTGAGCTCTCGAGGTAACTTTGGCAATATATGGTCAGCAAAACGTGCATGTTCACTGCTTCCCAACTTACGTACCAACAATCGGGTCTTCCACGCATCGTCTTGGTTACAGAATTCTGTTCTAAATGTATCTTCCCAACGTCTGAACCACGTGAGAAAAGTATTTCCACTTTCGGGATCATAGATGAATTCTGGGATGCTGCTAGCAACTGCATCACAAGACGTACTTGAAATAGCATGTGAACTCGAGCTGTGGATGTTGAGCTGTTGAGTCAGAGTCTCCAACAACCGCATTTGTGCATCAAGTTGTGCTTGCTGTTGTTGTAGTATTCGGTTAAGCTGGTCATCTGATATGGGCATCTTGAATTTGTTTTCCTTTTTCCCCGTCGCCACTGTTATAACTCTTTCTTCTTACGATTATGGCCCAGCTATTCCTATTGCTTAGTATTCTCGGACACCGATTCACTCGACAAGTCCCCAAATCAGAACACGGTTGAACAGGAAAGAGATTATATTCCAGATAGCAAGTCAGAAGCACAATAGGGAAAAACGTCAGTATATTTATAGTTTTTACATAAGAAGATTCCAGAGTATTCTCCAACTACCGACTAGTGCTGATTGGATAAGAATTAGCCAATCAGCGTGCACCAAAGCAATCATGCATTGAGCATGCTTTAATCTAGTCTATGTCCCGCTAACAAACTGAGTTCAACCACCACCTCATAAACCAGCACATGACGTGCGACTAATTGATGCCCGTTGGTTGCCCTTGATCTTGATGAGGATCAATGAAGTGTTCGACGGTCAGTGACTCGACTGCCGGATGATTTGTTTAGAGCTCACTGACATTTAACTACAACAATCCGTCACCAGATTCGACGGCCGTTTGAATTGGTTATCACGCTCTAGGGGTTGCCAAACGATGAAAAAGAATCCTTCGTGAATTGTTGATTTGCAAGACAAATGTCAAGTAAGATGCCTCAACTGATCTAGAAATAGCGAGTAATAATAAATCTGGGAATGTTGGATTCTTAGGTGCTTAAATGTATGACTTACAAGTTGGCTTCATGTTAAGCAAATAAACATGAGGAAGATAGAAGAATTATACAACGTTAAAGTTTTACCAAGCAGTATTAAAATACATTGTGCTGACAGGTGATTGAGTTACTCAGATAAGCCATTTTCAGTTTACCTCAAGAGTAACGACACTAAGGCGGCACGAAAAGTGCGTTATAAATTGACGTCGATGTCAGCTCTGTCATTGACTTAAGGTAGAAAGTCAGTGAACGTCGTTGACAGTTTGCTGTTCATAAGTGTCAAATTCTGGTTATATATATTTAGCGGATTAACTGAAGGTACAGAAACATAACCGAAAAAAAGTGGTAATTTCGTCGCACGAAGTTATTGATCACTTACTAGTCAAAGTTCTAAAACCTGGTGATTGCTTTTACAATTAGTTAGAGTCGTAGACTAAGGATTGAAAGTGAAAGAGACAAAATGAGGTTGTCTCTATGGGATGGCAAACGTCAAATCCCATATATTGCTTCAATAAATGAACCGATAAATATCGAAGAGAACATAAGAAAAAAGTGTCCTTCTGAACACATCTCAATGGTATTGGTGCGAAACTCTGTTAGTGCTGGGATAGAGGCCGCAATGTTGTTTCCAGTTTGCGAGTTTCAATTAACTGCGTAAACCTATGGTTCGCGTGAATGATTTTGTCGCTATATCACAAATTGAACCGGACAAGTTGTAGGTTCGGTGTGTAAATGTCAGACTGATATCACTTGCCGACTTCTCATCTGATACCAGACCACTGTTGTTCATGCCAGTAGTTTCATTGACGATTAGATAAAAGGTAGAAATAGTAATAGAAACAAAGGTTGAAAACTTCTGCATATTAAAGTGATAATCAGACAATAGGGTTGTGCTTCACTGACGATCATAAAATGGGTATAAACTAGGTATTTCGCAGTCAGTTATAATATATATTGAGGAGAAATCTAAGAGATGAAGCTTTAATAAGAATATTATGATTAAGTTTAACTCTTCACACCATCAAAACTAGTCTAAACTTACTAGGGTTTCGACCTTCAAATTTGTCTAAAATAACCCTAATATCTTAGACTGAAGATTTGCGTTTATTTTCTATTGTTATTGTATACTATCTGCCTGACCTTGAAGGTTGTTCACGGCCTCGAGTCTATGTGGCTTTTTAGTTCGTCCCAGTTTCCATTCTAGTTTACGTTCATCTCGGTGCATTGCTGATAATTCTCGCTTGTTTTTGTCCCAGCAACTGTCCTGTTTTATGTTCCTTATTCATAGCTGATCCCTATTTCGTGCCGTTTCATGCAGACATTTTTTCAGCCATACCCAAGCAACAAATAACGAGGAATAAAGAGGAGATAAAGCGGACGAAAGTGTACACATAGTGCACAATTGCGCATTACAGACACCGAAGTAACTTAATATTTACCCTATGTAACAATACAGATAACGCGTACATAGTTCATTCTAAAATCTAAATACTGGACGTAATACTATGCCTCGAAATTACGAGTTTTCTGATAGTCTATACAATCCTACTTTACCTTGCATCTATTACCCGACATTCTTTAAGGTTTGATATTTTCATCTTACTTACTTTTAAAGTTATCTAAGTGCAATTCAACTCTGACTAATGCATTAAGAGCAGCATTTGTACAGGTAGTAGAATTGGCATAAAAATCACTTTTTACTGGTTCACTAAACTACGAACCAGTGACCTTGTAGGTGGAGAATCAATATCCAGGGTTTAGCGAACAGTTTATCATTCGCTTGTTACAGCGTCTTGGAGTTAATGATGATATAAATCTGCCAGAGACATACCTGGGAATCGCTGGTTTACACACCCAACGTCAGTTCTTATTTTTCAAGTTTTTTAAATGTATTTAGTATGTGGAGGCATGGAGAATCAAATGATTAATCAGATCGAGATTTCTGCTAACAATTTGAAGTTGTGTTTAAGTAAAATACCTGACGAGATATCTAGTAGTAACGGCTTTACCAACCTTATAAGGTACTTCATTTCCCTTACTAATTTTCAGAGAGATTACAGAGATAACAGATAAATTTTTGGAATCGTTGTACAGTCACGATAAACAGATTTTGCAACAAAGAGCGCTGTACAACCTTAGGTTTGAGTTTATTCAATCATGCAAACAATTCAGCGAAACCTTGAAAGCATATAACCGTGATAAAAAGTAAGTGATCGGGTCATGTTTTTGTCGTGCTTTATTTTGGAAGGGTGGGGTTTGCGAAACCATTATATAACAGGGATACTCGTGCACTACTATTTGATTTATTTTTTAACCAGATTGTAAATGGAAGCTATCCATGATTCAACACTATCAGTCGTATAATTGGATAATTTCGCGTGCAAAATCTGAAGTAATGCAAATATTCGACTTCATAGCAAAGTAGAAGGAGTTTACGTAAGCTTATAGTCATGTTATTCCAACGCTCCAGCTACCAATTCTGTCACAAAAAATTCGACTGCAAAACCTACAGTGGTTTGCGTTGTCATAATTTTACTTTAATAATTTAATCCATATAAAATTAAGTATGGCTAACTAGTAAATCTAAAATTCATCACTCAAAACTTTGTTGGTGTGATGATCCCAGCAGTAAACTCCCTCAGCTCGTCATTCATGTTTCGGATCGCTAGTTAGAAAAGAGTTTTACTTAATATCGATGTTAATCTGGTAGCTGTATATCACATGAAGCGAAATATCGTATTAAATAATTTGTACTTATGATAACTTGGGCACTAATTTCCCTACCTATAAACACTAGGTCAAGTAAAATGATTTGTTAAAATTATTTTCTAAATATTAAAAAATAAGACCTGGATGTGCCTGTAATTTGAAAACTATTAGCTAATCCCATAATGTAATCAAGCAGATACATTTTGCTGCACCAGTTTTACGGTTCGAAACACAGCCTTGAAAGGTTAGCTCTCTTGTTAACCCTTACGCCTACAAATCGTTTTGCTACTGTTTCTTCTCTTTTGTTCTGTCAAGTTGTGACAAATATCGCTTATGTAAAGTGAGTAGCTCCATAAATCAAAGTCAATCAGC